GCAGTGAATCTCTGTGCTTAGACCACGATAAGAAGCCATAAATCTTAACCTCGAGCCCACACATACAAAAATCTCATTCACGACTTCTCTGAACCCAATATCTGCTTCATGATGTCATGGGTGGCTAACCTTATATTGCGATGTTTCAAAATCGTTACAAACACAATGGTTTGACTGCAATGAATGAACGAATTACCGATCTGGCAACACCATATTCCTCCTGTGTTTATCTAACACATTAGACAGCGAGGAATTTCAGACATAAACAGTCGCGCATAGCGACATGTCCCATACAATAAATAAGCTACAACGAGAGATACGATTGAATGTGAAGTCGCCACAAGGACTTACACTGCTAAAACGCATGGTGCAGAAAATGTATTACACTGCTAGAACGCATGGTGCAGAAAATGTATGAATTTCGGGAAATTTTATTTTGGGAATCAGTGTAAAAATTTTTTACAGATATTAAAATCTGTAAATTAGAATATCTGATTCTATATTCTTTCTACATTAAAGGAGCGTTCATTTCGTTCGTTTATCATAAAAAATGTAGAAATCACACCATTTTTAGAAACATGCTTACAATTTCATTGCTCTAGAAGGGCGGGCATTTAAAAAATCTCCGTCCAGCTGCCCCTACCGGAAATTAAATGGCCCGTCCGATAAAGGTTAATGAGTCATGTACGAGGGTTGGAACTTTAATAGTGGTAACTATTTGTTTACAACTGATACAAAATAGATGCATGTTTCAAAGTTTTACTGTCCTTCAGTATAGTCACCAGCGTTCTGTACAACTCGTTGCCAGGAATGTGGAAGTCTTAGGATACCTTTAGCAGCACCTGCTGTGTTGATAGTTCGAATGGAGTGGTCTATTGCCTGAAGAATCTCTGGAACAGTTCTGAAGAGAATGCCATGAAGTTCCTTCATCTTAGGAATCAAGTGAAGTCACAAGGGTTTAAGTCCAGGGAGTATGGTGGATAGTAGAGCACTTCCCAGCATGATCAATCGGAACAAATTAGCCACAGCTTACGCTGCATGCAACCATGCATTGTCCTGCAAAATGATGGGTGGTTTCTGCAGAAAGTGTCGCCGCTTCTATCTCAAAGCTGGTTGCAGGTTGTGTTCCAAAAATGAACAGTAATACTGTGCATTGTCACTCTTCTGTCGGGGAATGGTATGCGTTAGGATAACACCATCACAGTTGTACATGAGAATCACCATAACTTTCACATTGCTGGGGTTCTGACAAACTTTTGATTTTCATGGTGACCCATAAAGACGCCATTTGTTCAATTGGCGTTTCATTTGTGGCTTGTACGAATTGGCCCATGTCTCATCCAGCGTAATGATACGGTGTAAGAAAGCCTCTCCTTCGTGCTTCAAGTGGTTATGAGCAGCGTCGTATTGTAGCCATTTCTGCATTTCCATCAAATCATGTAGAACCCATCATGATGCAATTTTTCTCATGCCCAGGCATTCCTTCAGAATGTGAAGCACAGTCATATGTGCTAATCCTATCTCTTGGGCCAGCTCACGAATCATATGGTGTCGATCTCTCTCCAGTAATGCGGAAAGGGCATACACTTCTTCACTTACACTAGGACAACGTGGCCGACAGATGTCTCCCACATTTTGGCATCCCTTGTTGAAGGCTTTTATCCACCTTGCCACTGTTTTGTAAGGCAATGCAGATTCCCCGCAAGCCTCTTGAAGATCTTAATGACACTGTCGTGCTGTACGGCCTCTGGCACATTCAATCTTTATCCAACTCCATTGCTCCTGTTTCAAAAACAGTGACAAGACTACATTAGGCTCTGTTCTTCTCGTCACTGTGCATGCACGTGATGTGGGAAGGGAGAGTCCATTTGCTCTGAGGTAAGGTAGGTAAGTAACTAACGTGTGGTATAAGCGACATTATATGGTTCCATTGCATGGCATCTCTACAGCAGTGTTGCCACTATTAAAGTTCCAACTCTTGTTCAAGATTGACAACAACTGCAATCTATTTTAACAGCTCCAGTTTGCATTTGATACATGAATACCAGATTTCTTCATTATGAAGATTACTATCTTCTAGGATGTGACTACATGGTATTAAATTTCCAAATCAGTATCTTTACAAAACTCTTTATCCCACATTTTCATTGTCAGTGAAGAAAAATATGCCAATCTTAAATATGTTTGTCAGTTTTTACAGTTTTCACTAGATTCTGCACAAGAACTCTCTCTGCCCTTCCATACAATTGAACTTTTCTGTCCATAATAGTGCAAGGGTTCAAAAATGAAAAGCATCATAAGTAAATGTGTACCAGTAATGCTGGTTCTGTTGTTAACAACCTTGTTCACGAAATAATATTGACCTCTTTTACGCTCTCGCACAGCAGAATAATAATTGGACATTTTATGACAGTTCCATACATTTGTACGAGTACAACATGCTTCTTCTTGTACAGTTAGCCAAGCTCTTGGGATAAGGTTGATCAAGAAATGTCTGTATTATTGTGAGTTTCATAAACTATACAGATAATGGACCAAGTCACAGAGTATATCCTTCATTAATAGTAGAGTGAATTCACTGACTACACAACACGTTTTTTATTATCACTACATGTTATGACCTCAAGAGGTCATCCTCAGGATGAATTCACTCTACTATTGATTAAACACACAACGGGATGCAAGAAACAATTAAAATTATAGCCTTCATTGTCAGTGGAAATTCATGTACTTCACGTAGAACTTGTAAACCTAGAGAACATTATAATGAAATAAATAGCTCATGACCACTTATATTTCATCAGAATACTGGACATTTTCCCACTCTGTGTATAATGTGCAGAGCAACTAAATTATAATGAACTTCAGTGTAGAAATATAAGATCTGAAGGTGTGTAAATTATGTTTTTTTTTGTACACAATGTCCAGCTCTGACTTAGTTTCTGCGTGAATAGAAAATTGCTGCAATTGTTCCTGATTTTGGCCAGTCTTTTCAGTTAAATGCCACAGTAGCAGCTTAAAACTGATCATAATCACTTTCTTCTTGCACTCTTTGATATATGGGTACACAGTAGTGTAATCAGTTGAAGCACTATGCTGTAAGTTGGAAGGTCGTGGGTTTGATTCCCTATGGGTTATTGTACTTTTAAATTGATCTAATCCTTGTAGCCACAATATGGCCCTGGATTTGACTCAGCCTTTAACAGAAGTGAGTACCAGGAACTTTCCTGGGGGGTAAGGATTGGCTGGCGTGTAAGACTGACAAATTCACTGTCATCTATAAGCCGATTATTTAGAACATGTGGGAGCCTCGACATCTCAGAAACCTATGGGCCTCCAAGACCTGTTACAGGGATAGTATTGCCTTTTTTACCCTTTACTTTTCAATATATAATCCACTTCTCGTATGCTGTGCTAAGCAACAGCTGATACACCTGTAAAATAACCTATGAATCAGCTTATTATCTACAAGTATTCTACATAAAATTTCATCTTCTTAAAATTAAAACCACAGATATCATTGAAATAGCCTTTTTTAATTTGGAATACATGCAGCGTTTATTCAAAATAAATTTACACTTTATACAACTAGATGAAGATGTACAAGAGTACAGATAGCTGTTCTGTTGAGAAGAGTAGTCATTGCAGTGCTGCAGTCTTACTACCATGTTCTGTAGGAGAGGAGGCATCAAGCATGGCAGATAACCCCATTTTCCATATTTTAAAAAGAAACCTGAAGACCCTCCAACTGATCCAGCAATGGCACAAGATGATCCAGTCAACCCTGACAATCCACAGCCAGGGCACTCCTCTGGAATATATAATGTCTACATAATTATATTTTAGTACAGAATGAATGTGATGTATATCCACTTATACAATGTTTATGTTTAAATGTTCTGTATTACTTTATGAAGTAAAAGAAGAGAGAGTTTTAGTTTAAAACATAGAATATGATCCAAGAATAAACCTATACCAACCATGTCTCCCCAGACATACAGAGAAATGCGGTCAGCATTAATACAGGTTAAAGGTGAGAAGGCACCGGGAATAGATAACATCACTCTTGAGGTTCTTAAAGGAGATGTTGACTTGTTACAACCAATGTTAGAGAAGAGATGGAACGAAGGAAAAGTCCCAGCAGATTGGAAGAAAGATTTGATTGCAAAACTACCAAAGAAATGGGATACTACCAATTGCCTACCATAAATGAGTGCATAACTTAGAACTTTATAACAGCAAACCTTCCGTTGCTGGCTGTATCTTTTATAATAAATTACCCAATAGTATTAAACAGCTTGACAATAAAAACCAGTTTATAAGGGAACTTAAGAATTTGCTCATAAATAGATGCTACTACTCAATTGATGACTATATGAATGATAAATTCTGTAATGCTGGATAGTTATATATGCTGCATGTGATATTGCTACATATTTTGTGAATTTGTTGGTTTATAATTTGTTGTAATTTTGTTGGTTTTATAACTCGTTTCATGAGATATGTCCTACTTTAATGTAGTCTGATCTGTGGTATGGGTAAATATGAATTAATTAATGTATAGATAATTCTGAATTATTGGAATTTTTACATGTTTGATGTAAATACTCATTGCATATTTGCACGTTCATTGGTTTTGATCTTATTGCATCTTGCTAATTTTATAATTTATTTGAGTGAATGAATGTTTGGATAAATTCTATTATGCTGCATATTGATATATGCTAGATATGATAGTCATTACATATTTTGTGATTTTATTTGTTATGAATTCTCGCACCTTGCTAATTTTATAATTTATTACTTGTGGCATGTTCTACACCTGTGTGGTCCGATCTGTGGATAGTAAATATTGAATATATGAATGTATGGATAAACTATGATATATTAGATTATGATACATGCTAGATGTAAATAATCATTACATATCTTGTGTGTTTACTGGTTTAGAATCTACTGTATTTTGTTAATTTTATATTTTATATTATGTGACATGTCCTATATCAAGGTAATCTGATCTACAGGATGAATAAACATGAATGAATGAATGAATGAATGAATGAATGCAACAACTGATGAGGTATCACTCTTGTACTCGTAAGTATACTAAGGTGCTCTTAAGGATAATTCTGAATAGAGGAAAGGAAGTTGTAGAGCTACATCTTCATAAGAAGCAGATTGACTTTTGTACAAATCATGGTGGTGTGGACCTTATTAATAAAGTACCTCGTATTCAAGAAATTTAAAGAAGAATAAAACAATTATTCAGAGCCCTTTCTGATGCGGCGATAGAACTTGAGAATGTTATGTGGGAGAAGAAGCCAAGACACATGAGTTAATAAAAAGTAACAACAAAAAACGGTAATGGTACAATAAACCGTGTATAAAATACGGTCACATGTTTATGGCCCGTGACCGATAATAATTGGTTTTGGATTGGATAATCGGATTTGTTAACACCCTTTACAAACCTTCTTAACCAATCATGGATATTTTATAATTCCCGGCTAGCTGAAGAAATTCTATTAGGTGGTAGAGAAATTTCTGCAGTGGTAGCACTGTGAACTGGCATGGACCCCTCGGTCCCATCAGTCGTGCAGAAGGTGCAGAATGTAGCTTGTCGTTATGCAAACTAAGCTATCAATCCAGTTTAAAATGTACAAATATTGCATTATCTTTGATCAAAGTACAAAATTAATTTTGTTTTTTGTTCTTGTAGTTTAATGGCACTCAGCATACGAGAGCTGTGTGATGTTAAGTATAAATTATATTATAAGTTGAATAATTTTTGTGTTTCTACAAAATTGTAAGGAGCTGCATAAGAAATTCCCGAGAGATCGATCATTACTCCTATTGATACCCAAAATGGCAGTTCGTACAGTGGTTAATGGTGATGACACTCAAGTTTTCATCAATGATAGTAGTGAACAAGTGAGGCAACGAGTGCTTGTTGTCATAAATTTAAAATAGAACTCAGATCAGCACAAAAAATTGTTGAACTGCTATAAGAAGTACCGTAAGTACAGACCCACGTTACTTCAACAGTTCGAACTAAAAAAAAAGGGGGGGGGGGAANAAACCGGAATGGGTTCTTGTGTTCACGAATCTCCGCTGGAACATCTGGCTAACCTGACTTAGTTTATTCATGGTTTTTCACAGTACAACTAGGCAAATGTTTATTGGACTTAGTATCCCTAATCAGGTGACAAGCATGAAGACTTCTGAATACATTATTTACTAATCATCAGCCATTTGATACTATATAGTTTCCGCTATGAAGTGTGTTGTGAAATCATGAAAGGAAATGTGGTGCAGGAGCAGTTTTGAATGTTGTTAATAATCGGACACACCTTTCTCCACCAGAAGAGATTCTGTCCAACATCAAAATTGAGCCTAATGACAGCAAACTGGACCTACAGATAGCCCTCAAGAAAGCACGGAGACTGAAGCTGCAGGAGGCTGTACAGAATCAAAGAACAGTGTAGAAAAGGTACATCACATCAGCAGATTTCCTTTTTAATCCTTCTCACAAATGTTTGGCTGTAGTAGGGGTCATTTCTCTTGTTCAGTCAAGGCCATCTTCCCCTCTCTGCTTTTTCTCCCTGAGACAAGAGAGGAGCAGCCCTATGGATAGTTGTTGGGAGGTGACAAAATTGTCTGTAGCCACAGAATCCTGTGCCATGTTTAGTTCCTACACAGTGTCACCAAATGTTCCAGTTATAAAATGTTGCACAGAACCTTGTAGTAAAGTTCATTATGATGTTTCCTCCTTGGTTACTTTACAAAACCATTGTACCCTAGAGAAACTATATTGTAATTTAACCTGAGGACTATTAAATTGTTTCTCTCACAGTTTGTTATTGTGGACCTCAAACCAGTAAATCATATCTTCACATTTAAGTAATATCCTTTTTTACTGTGCTACAAACTGAAAGGTCATGGGTTCAATTCCCAGTTAGGTAATTGGATTTTTAGATTGACCGAATCCTTCCAGTCACAGTATGACCCTGGGGTCAACTCAGCCCCTAACAGAAATAAGTACCAGGAATATTCTTTGGAGGGAAAGGGCAGCTGGCGTGTAAGGCTGACAACCTCACCGCCATCAGTGAGCTTCTTGTTGAGAAAGTATGGGAGTCTTGACGTCTCGCACCCCTGTGGGCCTCCACAGCCTATTACAGGGAGAGCTCTACCTTTTTTATACTATCATCCTTTCTTGTATTTTGGTTATTGAGACCTGTTATGGCCTCCTGTGAAATAGGCACCAGGGGCTGTTTCCCCAGGTGTGGGAGTGGCATGGAGCTGGCCACTCACCTCCATCTAGAGCGTAACCAATTAAACATAGGGACAGCTTTGCATTTTTGGATACTACAAAACGGAATGCTGTATAGCTACATAATTTAACTGTTTGTGATTTGTGATGTTTGTAGGTGGCAGAGTCAGTACTGGAGAGAAACTCAGAAGGAAACACGGAAGGTGGTTCCATTGTGCTAAATGCTACAGCAGAATTCTGCCGTACGTTGAGTGATGTCCCCATTTATGGCTGGCAACAGGGATGAGGACACTCAGGAACTACTTGTGAGTGCAATATAACCATCAGCAGATAAATGTACACTTGGCAAGGCACTTTGATTTAGCATGTGTCAAGACTAGATGCAGTCCATTGCCCATCTACAGTTAATTACTGCAGCTGCAACAGAATTAGAATATATTTTAATTACAGTTGAATTCCATGATAATGGATATATAAATTACTGAACTGTAAACATCCAACAGAAATCCTAGAAATGAAAGCACTCGTTATACAATTAGAATGTGATAGTTGAGATGGTAGAACCTTTTTCTTCTTCTTCTTCACACATGGTACCTTCTGGAATGGAATGCTGTATAATGTGATAAGGTCCATAAGCATTTTGAAGGAATGGCAGTGGACTTAAAGGATGTTACTTCCCAGAAGATAGTGCCTTTCTTAATCTCCTCTTCAAGAATCTCAAATCCAGTCTTTTTTTCCCCATCTTTTATTTCTTTTTTCTCCCTGTGCCATGTGCATGATACAAGGGTAGAAAAGACGCTACTAGGAATTGTATGTGAAATTGAAATAGGGATGAATAAATAGCTCAGAACATGACTAAATGAAAAACCAATAATTCTTGTAATTTTATTCATTTCAAAGTGAATTGAATGTTAATTGTCACAGTATTCTCACTGCAAACTCAGAATTAGTTTGGCAGGTGTACAGTGCTTGGCAGAATGAGAGGATGTNGTGGGTAAGCAGTTCAGGTTTCAGTCTATCTCAAGGTAATTTTGAATTGGTAATTTTTGGACTGCGCATTTGCGTTCTGCTAATCTCGTACAAAATTTACATTGCAGGAAGAAGGAAATGACTGAAGAGGAGAAACGTCAGGAAGAAGAAGGCAAACATGGAGCTTGGAATGAAGTTGAGATTGGTGAGTCATTAGCAGATTCTTTATGTACAACATAGGCCTATTCAAATTAAGAGATATTGACACTTTAGTATTGGTTTTAATTGTTGCGTATTATATTTCATAAATTTCATAAATGGTATGCCATATTTAATCATATACTTCAGTTTTGTTAGGGGTTTTAGTAGAAACACATTAATAATTACTGTTTAATATTAGTAGTGGTATGATAGTTGGTTGAGGCGCTATGCTACAAGTTGGAAGGTCATGGGTTCAAGTCCAGATGAGGTCATTAATTTTTTTCAATTGACCTGATCCTGCCAGCTGCACTATGGCGCTGGGGTCGACTCAGCCTCCTAACAAAAATGAGTACCAGGAATTTTCGTGGGGGGTAAAGAGCGGCCGGTGTGTGTGAGGCTGACAACCTCACCGCCATCTGTGAGCCAATTGTCTAGAAAATGTGGGAGCCTCAACGTCTCACAACCCTATGGACCTCCACAGTCAGTTACAGGGATAACTTTACTTTCCCCCCCCCCCGTATAGTGTCTTGGTATGTAATGAATGTCACTCATGAAGAATGCCGTCTTCTGGGATGTGGCACTGTATAGATATTGTGTAAACCGATGTTTTGGAGGAATGTATCGCCTCCATCTTCAGAGTATAAAATTCCACAAGCGAGGAACTAGCATGAGCAGGTGGCTGCAGACTAAGTCACCTAAGTTGTCCTGTAGCTGTCAGATCTTCTCCGCAGCAGGCCTTAAGGAAGAGAATTGTCATGGGCACAAGGATCGGCCACTTGCTTTGATTATGGAGTAGTGCAGGAGATTTTGAAGGGTAAAGAATATCTGAGCTTTGAATACTTTGTCATCTCCTCTATAACTGAATTGCAAGTCTCATCTTGTCTCTCAGGTTTGACCCACTTGAGTATTAGGGAGATGTACATGATGGTCAAGACAGGACGAAGTAAGCAAGCAAGACTAATTAGGGAACTTAATATACAGCATTGCTTTATCTTTTCCAGAGATGATGAAAAGTTTGGGTGTCGTGAGGGTTACAGTGGTCCGACCTCAGACTTAAAAGAAAAGGAGGGCTACAAACCTAGTGTTAAACTCGACTACATAGATGATGATGGACACGTACTTAATGCAAAGGAGACTTTCAGGTTAGCACAGATAATAACATATCTGTTTTTAAGATAGGTCACACTGTGGAGGGTAGCCTGTACAATGGTAGTACATTCTTTAGAGCAGAAAAAAGTTTCCACAGTAATTGCCATTTTAAGAATTCAATCCCCACCAGCATCTGTGTATAGATTTTTCTGCTCACAGATGATGCCTTCACATCTACCAGAGTTTGAGCTTCAGAAATACAAAGGATACTCTCCCCGTGGGATAAAGCCCGTGTTAAATTGTAGGGTCCCTTTGCTGACCAGCACTATCATGATTATGCTATCATGGATGGTGAGATTATTGTCTTCCACCTCAGATGCTTTCAGTAGAACTTTTTATTTTGACTTACTTTTCTCCCATTCTGTGTGTGACAGTTTGTAACTAGCCAACATATTGTGACATTTTAATGCGTAAATACTTTGTACTTGATGTAGTTTGTTGTGCAGGCATAGAATGTGGCAGAATGGATCATTTTGCAGATAGGTTGCATGAATTAGGAAGAAACATGCCTCAAAATTATTACTATCTCATTGTACTTTTATTAAAATATTTTGTGTTAATCATTTCAATCCCTGCGACTTTAATGTGCTGTAGTATGCCCATTTCTGGTTATTGGCTGTATGAGTAAGTTGTGTTGGAAAACGGAATGTTACATATTTTTATTATTTCACAAAATAACAGACTGAACTATATATGGATCATACCCTTTTTTCTGGCTGAAACTTCAGGATGAAAGGATTTTACATGTTACTTGGAAACATGGCCACATTCTGTAAGATCCTAAAATACAGTGACTTTAATGTTGTCTCTATTTCTAATTTCAGATACCGGTCTCATGAATTTCATGGAAAGGGACCTGGCAAAAATAAAGTGGAGAAAACGAATGAAGAAAACTGAACAGGAAGGAGTGAGTATCAGTCCAGATCTGGTCATGAGCTCTTATTTCTAATACAAGCTGGAAGGTCATGGGTTCAAGTCCCAATGAAGTCAATTTTTTCAATTGACCTAATCCTTCCAGCCACGCTATGGCCCTGGGGTCGACTCAGCCTCTAATAGAAATGAGTACCAGGAATATTCTTGGGGGTAAAGGGTGGCCGGTGCTGACAACCTTGCCGATATCTTTGAGCCGATTGTCTAGAAAAGGTGGGAACCTCAACATCTCACAACCGTATGGCCTCCACGGCCTGCTACAGGGATACCTTTACTTTACTTTAGTATATTGTAGCACCCTGCTGCACTTCATTTAGTACCAAATTGTTTCACAGTCTCATGTGCAGCATGTCCTTCTGTAAAACTTCCTAAAAGCTATTCACTACATGTTTTGACCTATAAGGTCATTATCAGGTGTTTTAAAATTATAAATGAGGAAACTGATGTGCTTCCATATTGTGGTTGTTGGTCATCACTATGCAGTCCCTTCTATTCGCATGTATATATGAAGTGGCAGGTTGTTCTGCCTGTTGTGTTACGCTGCGTGTCCCTCTTGCACTGCATAACACAGCAGGCAGAGCAACCAGCCACTTCATGTATACATGCTCATAGAAGGGACCGCATAGTGATGACCAACAACCACAATTTGGAAGCACATCAGTTTCCTCATTTATCAATAGACCACTGTAGGTCGCGGTGCAAGGGCTGAGAAGGCCCACCCCTTGTACATTCATTCTTCATTTATAATTTATAATTTTAAACACCTGATGATGACCTTACAGGTCAAAACATGTACTGAATAACTTCTAGAAAGTTCAATAGAAGGACATGCTGCGCATGAGACTGTGAAACCATCTGATGTTATTTCTAAATGGTGCTCCATAAATGTCCATTCCATAATGTCCATGATTCCACATAGCAGATAGATATCCATCCACACTTTTTGTGCATTCATTTCCTGCTGACTACAAACATACACAGTAGCTTCAGTCCAGGGACAGAAGGGAATACTGCAACTTTGTGGCAAGTCAGATAGAGCCTCGTCATAAAACACATAACATATTTGTTCAATTGTCATTAGGCTAGTAGACATAGACACAGACCATGGGTTGGAAATTGGGAGGAATTGATGACTTCTAGCAGCAGACTAACTTAAAATCTGGCCAGTGACAGGAGCTGCAGATATTACAGAATGTTTAAGGGCAAACAGACTGTGCCCCATCTGAAGGTGATTAATTTTTTTTTTTTGTTTCCAGTTGATGAAACAGATGAGCTCAACAGACACCCACTCGGAACGCTTAGCCTCTTGCAGCAGAAGCAGAAAGAAATGCAGTCTCCATTCGTGGGCCTTAGTGGCGGTAAACAAACATGAGTATGCTTTTTGTCTGCATTCATTGAAAAGAACAACCAGTTCTAATTAAAAAAAATCGTATTCATTAACTGACAGACTTAGACATGAGAACGCAGATTACTAGATGAAACCAGTGAACTCAATTCAAAATTTGTCTAATCTTAACATTGCAAATAACAGTAATTCGTAGCTTTAACTTGAAGGCTGAGTAGATGGGAAGCCATATAGTAATGTTGTATGGTGATTATACTGCTGCAAAGTAAATATTTGTTTTTCTCTGAGCATGTCACTTGTCTTGTTATAAGTTGTAGACTGTACACTATAAAGTGTCATTTTAATGATGGATTGATTAATAAAACTTTCCTCCTTGGTACTGTGAAGCTTTACTAAAAATTTCTGTTTTTGATGCAGAATATGAAATTTCATTTTCAAAAAGAAAACCACCATGTGAGGTTTTTGTGAGATCTTCAAGTTTAACATGAGCATTGCTACATTTTCTTTATTTCTTTCTTTTTCAGGGCAACCATCTCAAAAACTAAACTGCAAATTCTTCATGAAATGTGCTGGCACTAACTCTGAACTTTGGTGTGGACTTATGTTTTATCATTTCTTACTGTCTGGAATATCATCTCTATTTTTAAATAAGACACAGCTTGCAGCTGCCAACAGTGCCTATGTGTACTGGAAGGAAGGCCACAGAGCTCATGTCACATTCAAATGAGTACAGTGGTTCTCCTGCTGGCACCTGAAAGCTGAAAAGTACAATTTCTAGTGATTAGTTGCTTGCTTATAGGATTTGAGCCAGACATACAGCCAAGCTAAATCATACATGAAGTAATTATATTAGACCTTTCTTGAATGCAACAGCAATATTGTATCCTTCCAAGGGAAGAAAGAAACCCTTGTTCAGGTGTAGACGAGTATGAAAAGCTGTAAAACTATACAAGCAACAGGATCAGAAGATTTACAGTCTACTGCAGATCATTGTAAAGCACCACTGATATATCACTGAAACATTTGTAGTGGGTTATAAATGTGACTTGGTTCATTCTGGTCTGTCACGCTAGTAATTGTGTACAAGGTTTTTAACCACTGTCCAGTGTGACTGATAAAAGTTTTTAATTTTTCATCCTTTACACTTTTCGGTCAAAACGACCATCTTCAGAAAGATATTATCAACACATATGGAAACTACTGTTACATGTCATACATATATATGTTATATCTTTTAACTAATATTAAGATGTACATTGATTTGTTAAAACATCCAAAAATTATTACAATTAGTCTGTTTACAAAATAATGTTCAGTATTTGTTTTAAATTAGAACCAATTTGGTTTCTTGTCCTTACACTTCTGTAATAATTTTAGATGTTTTAACAAATCAATGTACATCTTAATATTAGTTAAATGATATAACATATATATCTGTGACATGTAACAGTAGTTTCCATAAGTGTTGATAATATCCTTCTGCAGATGGTCATTTGGACTGAAACATATAAAGGATGAAAAATTAAAAACAACTTTTATCCGTCACACTGGATGGTGGTTACTAATCTTATATGAGGTTATAAAAGTCCTATGTTTAATCCACATGCAGATGATCAAGAGTCTTCTGTAGGTATACAAAAACTTGAAAGACACATAGACTCGGCCTGAAATATCAGGTCATGAAACTGTGTAAGACTGATCTTAAGGCATCTTCTTGGAGGTGGTGGTGATGATTTGAACCCAAAATGAATATATAAGTCAATGCTGAACATTACCTGAAGTCTGAATTGTAATCCTAATGTGTTACTAATCTTCACTTAAGAAGATGCACAGACAGACTCCAGGTGTTCCCAAACTTACATTTTTCTTGATATCAGTAATGTATAACTGTAAGTTGACGTCAGTCACATATATTCCAGCCACCTAATTATTTAAGACAGTTTCAGTATTTTTTAGTCTTTGTTAATATAAATTTACTTGAAATGACAGTATTACAAAAGTTGTTACATTTGTGTATTTCTTCGTGAATTAGGGATTATAATTTAAAACATTAGGTGCATGAAGAATATGTTCAGTTAGTGTGGTTACTTGCAAGGTTGGAATTATGTGTGGAGTTGATTTTAGTTTGTAACATTCTCACTCAGAGCAGTCTGCTTATGGTAATTGACGGTCATTACTATCGGTCCTTACCATAGGTAATTAATTTTTCAGTAAATGGTTTTCAAACAAAAGGTAAGACACACCTATCAAAAGAAACTGAAGATTTCATTTCTTTATTGGTCAGTATCCTGTTGAGAAAGATACAATAAAATAGTTTTACTTGGTGTACCACTTAAATGTATATCATCTTTAGGAAAAATGAAAAAAAAATGCTTAACTTTCATGATATGTTTGTATGCACTCAAAATTTTCACTGTAAACTTGAGGTGGCCATGTGCAGTTGGAACCCAGGCAGGGCCACTGAAGCACCAGGCTGATAGCTTTAAATGGTTGCAATGGTAGACTTGCCATTTCTTATTAATTTGTACAGATTTCCTAACAGACTCACTACTGTGATGAAGACTTGTTCAAACAATGCTCTGAGAATTGATTTCATTATGTAATGTAATTCATCTGCACTGATCACAGTTCAGTTTAATCAGTACAGCACAATTACTGTATGGTTGTAGTGTGTCAATATTTCTTGTTCATGAATGGAAGTACAGTCATCTACAAGCACCATTGTTATGTATGAGGTTTGATATATTCATGGCAATGATCATGAGGAAGTTGGAAATGACGCTGTTTAGGTGGGTAGGAGTCTGCCAACATTTTGGAGGAACGTACTGCCACCTTCGTAAGGGTAGACTTCTACTCCATACATTGTATCACATCCTGACTTTTCCGCAATATTATTGAGGACAAGTCTTCTAAATGTAATCCTCTGTAATTTGTTTTAACCAACACTGCAGACAAATATACTTCCTCCATCTTCAGGATGGAAAATGGAAGCTGAAGGCATTGTGTTTCTCTGAAATGTCATTTCACTTCTACCAACCTACACAGTATCATACCCTGTATCATCAGCCAAATGAAACTGGTGTTTGTGGATGACCTGATTTCATATTATGAATTGAAACATCTGTACCTCCGTAATCGAAATGATATCTGGAGTCATCCTAAAGATGGAGGCACACATTCCACCAAAACGTTAGTATCCACCTATCAGACTGCAGCATGGTGTGTTTCATCAGAACCCTGGTATCCGCCTGCCAGACTACAACACAGTGTTATAGCACACAACGTCCCCACCAAGGAACTTTATGATTATACAGCTTTCCAGTTTTGTCAGGAAAGAACTTGTCGCTGAGATGGGGGAACACAAATACTTTTCATTTCCGTGTATCCTGTTGTGTTCAGAGATACTGGGTTTTCGGACTTTGTCCATCATTTGGATTCGAAATAACTAAAAACACAATGTTTCGGAAACTGGATGTGTTTCCGCCCTCAGGCGAGGGAAGACACCTACTCTGTTGGGTCCCTTAGAAAGAGCTAGCCTCAATCACTGGACCCTGGACACATCCAGTTTCTGAAACATTGTGTTTTTAGTTATTTCAAATCCGGACGATGGACATAGTCTGAAAACCAAGTATCTCTGTGTGTTATACACCATCCTGTTGTGTTATTATATACAATTCTTTATTGGAGTCTGTAGTAACACAACAACATAACGGTCAAGGGTCAAATTACATAACTACATGTTCTGGCTTTTTAAAGCCATCATCAGGCAAAGCACATGATTACTAATTGTGTCTGAATACAGTAATAACGTGTTTTCCCTGCTGATGGCTTTAAAAGGCCGAATCATGTAGCTGGGTAATTTTGACCTTGACCATTATATGAGTATTGTTGTGTTATGATGGACTGCAATAAAGAATTGAACACAAATACATACAATATTTTTGTTGGAACATGCTGGGAAGCATCCACTTGGCAAAGCAAAAGTGGTGGAAGGAAGATATCAAACCAGATCTTGACAAAACTGGATATAAGACTGGATCATGCCGTGTCCACTGGTGGGCTTTGGTATTATCAACATTCATCCTGGAAGTGTATGCTGAAAAGTAATGCCTCCATAGGACCGGTGAAAATGTTGTTCTGTCCCGCCAGACTTACATAAGTACAGGTACTCCTTGGTATATGCAAGTTGGAAACATGTTTCATTTTAATGCAGTCAATTTTATTTAGACCTGTAACACTTGCTTTAGTATGAACTAATTGCTGGCCCGTGAAGAGAGGTGAGAAGAAGGGGGGATTAGGATGCTGTGCAGGTGTGGAGGAGGAATGCAAGGGGAGAAGAGAAAGTTTGGCCTACCTGATAACATTTATGTCATTGTGACTCCTTTTGGGAATACAACTAATGCATTAATTGATGAATACTTGTACATGAAATATGTCAGCTGTGGCTGGACTGCAGAAGTGGTTGTTTGAGAAGTAATTGTATAAAATAGGGAACAAAGTTCAAGGAAGGCATTTCTGTTTCAATGAAATTGCTGTTATGGAAAAGAAAGCAGGAGTCGTTACTTTCAGCATGCCCTTGTACAAGCTCTGTCACCAGGAGAAGACAGATACACTTCCCAGTGAAATATCCCACATTGTGAAATTGGAAATTTCATAATGTTAATTGAAATCCATATTTAAATATTTGTTGCTTAATCCCCAGTGGTCTCCTGCGTACAGAGCACACTTGCCATTGTATCACATTACTACATGGAACACAGAATACCTATGGCAGTCATAGCTTCTGTCCCTAACAGTGATATTATATCAAAAGTGCCAGTTCTTTATAGCAGTTCAGAAAAAGAAAATGTTATAAGCTGTCTATTCATGTATGGGTAGTCACATTTTGAAATTTCTGTGGCATGTAACAAATACTGTGTACGTCTGAAATAAAATTACCCTACTTTATCTTTTATCGGCAGTGTAAACCTCACATTAAACATAAGATTTGAAGCTTTCATGGCAGCTGCAGTGGATGAAATCTGCTCTGGCTTTCAGCCATGTCAATTGGTTAAGTATCACCAATGTCACAGGGACCATCTCTCTCCCTATCATCAGACGTGGCTGATAGCCCAAGAATATTTTATCAGCTCATGTCACAACTTTCACCCTTTAAAACAGGGTTACAAGATCTCATTGCTGTCTGTGTATGCTCCCTTCCCTGAACCTATTCATCCATGATGTATCATTAAAATATTCTTCCAGGTAAGTCAGTTACATATATGAGTAGAAAGGAAATGTGACATAGGAACGAGTATTTCACAATAATGCTGCTGCCGCTGCTACTAACAAGGATGACGGCAGTTTTCTATGGGTAATGAGTAAAGTCTTCAAAAGACACCATTTTACCATCCACAGTATTCCAGCCCCATCAATAGATTTTTTTCTTTAATATTTCACCACACTACAGAAGCTATGGATGAAGCTGAGCAAAATTTCCGCAATTGGGAATTAAAAAAAAAACGGTACTTTACGTTTTAGTCGTTTTCGGTTAGCAGGAAAACCTGGTACCTTGAACAACCTTCAGGAGCACAGTATTGATCGCAAATGAATTACATTTAAAAATCCCGGTACTTTTTCGTTTTAATGGACTTCGGTTATTTGGAAAACCTGGTGGTTATTCTGAAAACCCGGAGGTTATTTGGAAAACCCGGAGCAAGACAGTGTTTGAGCACATTTTGTGCATACAGCAAGAAATGTAAACAAACCCGGTTACTTGGAAAACCCGGAAGGTTTTTCTGAAAACCCGAAGGTTATTTGGAAAACCCGGAAGGTTTTTCTGAAAACCCGGAGCAAAACAGTATTTGAGCACATCTTGTGCATACAGTAAGAAATGTAAACAAACCCCGGAACTTTTTGTTATCACCAGGGTACTTTCCGTTGCACCGCGGCAAAATGTAAACAA